GGTAGAAAACTATTAAGGAGGTAGGATTGTTAGGAATTAGTAAATGATGGCATGCAGTGAGTAAAAGAGGAAGACACTGTCAAGGGTAATCCTCAGAATTTTAACATGAATAACTGAAATAAATGGCAATAGTGGTGCTATTTCCTGATATTAAGGAGGTAGGATTGTTAGGAATTAGTAGATGATGGCATGCAGTGAGTAAAAGAGGAAGACACTGTCAAGGATAATCCTCAGAATTTTAACATGAATAACTGAAATAAATGGCAATAGTGGTGCTATTTCCTGAGCTACAGAAAGGTAGAGAAGGAGCAGAGTGGGGTAGGTGAGAGATGACTAATTTGGTTTTGGATATGATGAAATTATGGTGCCTTTGTGAAATCCAAATGCACATGTCAACTGGATAGTTGAGTGGACTGGTGGTAGAGCTCAGAGAAGGTCTGAGCTGGAGAAACAAATTTACTAGTGTAGGGGTGGTATTGGAAAATATGGGTTTAGAAGAGCTTACTTTGGTGGATGGGAAAAGGACCTAGCTAGTTCTAGGACTAAATCTTGAGGTTTGGTAGAGGAAGTGAAGCCTACAAAGTTTTTAGTACTTCACTGTAAATTCAATGTGAACGTTAACCCAGAGGGTTGAGAGCCTTTTATCCCATTTATATGGTGCAATTCCCATTTGACAATTTTATCATTTTTCCACTGCCAGCTACTTGACTACCCCTACCAGAAAAATTTATTTTTTCCCCCTGACCGAAAACAATATATGCAGTTAAATAATCTGATTGTTTGGAAAGATTAATCTTTATGTATGACATAAATGTTTAGGGCACTTTGTTATTATTCCACTTTCTATGACTTTTTATTCCTGTATTTAATTAGTTATAACAAAATTCCACTATAGTAGGAAAGCCTAATAGAATTTGCTGACTAAATTTGACCCAAATAGTTGTCTGGTGTCATGGCCAGAAAAAACACAACTCCCTTTTCTTCAGAAGACTTTTATTTTGGAGTGCAGTTTTGAATAGGTAATACTTGTATATAATACAAAATTCAAGAGGTACAGAACTGCATGCAATACAAAGTCTTCTACTGCTATTCCCTCATTCACTTTCTTTCCTTCCCAAGGCAGGAAGAATTCTAAAGTATCCTTCCAGACATTCTTTGCATCTATAAACTCATAAATATGATTTTGTTCTTTATTTACACAGGTGGTATAAAGTATCTTTTTGGTTGGTTTACCTTTTGTTCCTGTTTGTGGCTGACACCAGTCTTTTGTGGTTGATTTGGGCATATTTAAATGGTTTTGATGGCAGTACTGGTTACTTATTTAGGCAACAGAAATTTAAAACTCAGTTAATACTTAAATTTAAGGAACTTGAAAGATAATCATTTGATTGGTGTACCATATTGAAAGTTATTGATATTGTCATGTTTTCTTACAAGGAAGAAAAGTAGATTCATTTGTGCTACTACCCACACAACTTATTTCCTGAAGAAACAAGTTTTATGGTCACTTTAGCAAATTTACTTTTCATCCTGCTGTTGTATTATGAACTTTGTAAAGATCGAATGCCTTCTTTCAGAAATTAGAGACGTTTGATGCTTATGCTTTATGGCTGATATTAACTTCCAGTATATTTCTGAGATACTTCAAGAAAAATCTTTTCTTGAGTATATAACTTCATACTAAAAAATCAATTTTCATTTTTATTCAGTTGAAAAACTTTGGGTTTGTTCCTCATACTAGGGGTATTTTATATCTACAAATATTTTATTTCATGTTTATATTGCCAGTGTGCTTCATTTATGATGCTTTGTTCGTTGGTTTTAACTTTTACTCCCTCTGTTGGCTTTCAGTGGTGTTACATTCTTTTTGGAATAATGTTAGGAAAAACATTTATGCTTATTTTCATTTAACTAAAAAATTAGTAATGATGCAAATATGCTTATGAAGTAGGCTACACATGGATTGTTTTAAATTAATATATGTTCCAGTGGCCATGAATATTCTTGTTTTCATGAATGTGTTAAGGAAACTATCAGAATGTTTTATCAGCAACTGAGAACAGGACTGTGAAAAACAGGCATATAGAATACTCTTGTTTGTATTAAGTAAAAAGTAGGCTTGCCATGTTAGATCAATAAAAAAGGATTTTTTTCAGGTATCTTCTAGTTTTTGTCCACCATAGATTGAACCATCAGGTAACTTCATTGAGTGAACTGATGGGGGTGCCATATTGTACCTGCCTAGCATACCATGTAGATTAATATTTGTGTCTGTCTGTGACCTGTGGGACATTATATTAGTTGCCTTCTGGAACATCACAAGTACAGGGCTAGTTATTTACTTGCCTTGCACATTCTTAGCATCCTCTGAAAAACCACCAGTTAATGAAGTTTGCACAGTATAGGTCACAAACTCTTGTGGTTAATGATTATGTCCTGTTCCTCCATGAGTAATTGGAGTTGTATCATTCATGGTGGTGGTGAGGGTGTTGGGTTCTAAATTTAGCATATAAAGTGTATGTAGGGTGTTTTAGCTTAGGTCATTTATAGAGTAAGTTTTCTGGGTTCACAGAGTAGTTGAACTGTGTTTAGTGGCCATTGTTTATGAAACACGACATCTGCTTAGCATAAGGAGAGGTATGTGGGAACTAGGAAGGACTGAGGGAACAGCAGATTCCAGCCTTTCATCTTAGTGCTCTTCTAGAGCAACTCCTTTTGAGGGGAACACAGACAGGTTTGATATATCATTATTTTGGTTGCTCATTTGCCAAATGCACATATAGTTAATTGTTTTTTCTATTTCTGTGAAGAATGCCATTGGTATTTTGATAGGGGTCACATTGAATGTGCAGATTGCTTTGGGTATTAAGGACATTTTGGTGATGTTAATTCTTCTGACTCATGAACATGGGATATTTTTCCATTGATTTGTGTCCTCTTCAGTTTTTTTTTCAGCAATGTTTTATAGTTTTCATTATAGAGGTCTTTTACCTGCTTGGTTAAGTTTACTCCTAGGTATTTCATTTTTTGGTAGCTATTGTGAATGAGATTACATTCTTGATTCCTTCTATGGCTATTGCATTGTTGGCATATAGGAAGTCTATTGATTTTTGTGTTGATTTTGTATCCTGCCACTTTATTGATCTCATTTATTAGTTCTAGTAATTTTTTGGTGGAGTCCTCAGGGTTTTCTCTGTATAAGATCATGTCATCTGCAAGTAGGGATAGTTTGACTTACTCCTTTCCAATTTGAATGCCCTTTATTTATTTATTATTTTTGTCTTTTTTCGTGTCCGGCAACGGATCGCAACCCTCAGTGTCGCGCCCGTACTGGACCGGGACCGGCAACGGGATCGCAA